CAACATCTAGCTAGACTCCCAGAACCAGCTAAGATATAGCTCAGCTATAAAGTAAACAGACGTGTAGCACGGAACACGTTTATTCAGTACGAGTATTGCGGATAAAGTGTACACGCAGGGAGCTACTCATGATCAGGATGGGGGATTAGGTTAAACAAACAGAGGTTAATGATTGGCCACTGTTTGTACGGTCGCTGCACACAGAGTTGTAACGCCGCACCTCCCAATCCTAGCATGCAGGCATGCGATGACACGCGAAGCGATAACGTGTCCCACAAGTCTACTGGCTCAATTATAAGGTCCGAAAGCAATGATATCAAATATCTAAAATCAAATAGAATCTTAAAATCTACAAATCATGCACTTATTTGTCCTATTAGTGCCTTTTTAAGTTAAATCAAACCGCCGAAACATTTGAAGAAAGCTAAATTAGCCCAAAAAGAGAGAAGCTGCCAATATGGTTGCGCTGTGGACCAACGGAAAGAGGCTCTAATGAATACTATTGTGGCAAAACGATTTCTTCCATTTACTTATATATATTCTTTAACTTTTTCCTTCACCTTTATCTTCTTTACCATTATATATATTGCAAACGAGAAACCCTTAATAAATATGAACCATCATTAAACTGAAATATCAGATAGAGTATGAAATGAAAAAATGGGTAAAGAGATAGCAAAGAAAGGAAGGGAGCAACAGTCTAATCACAATGGCTAATAACATTACCAAGAGAACTAATTATATCGCCTAACAAATACACATAATAGAAAGTAAACTTCCGGAAAAGGAATCTCGTGGTTTCTGTAAATTTTCACCATTGTGAGTCATATCTTGAAAGTGGGACAATCTCGAAGCAGCACAACGAGATATGAAAATGGCTTAAGTGAAGATGGTAATAGCACCGCAATATAGTAAGCAAACTTTAAAAACGAAAGAAATTATTATTAAGAAATTATCAACTTCTTCGTGCATAATACAACGTAGAAAAATATATACCAAATTGATAAAAGCCTAAAACTAAGAAACTAAAACTATGACGACAAATATAAAAATTACACAAAAAAGGAATAATTTCACCATGGCATTGAAAACGGATATTTGTGTGCAAAGCCTTAATAAAACAAAAGTAATTGAGGTTGAAGAAAGAATATTGAATAAAAGCAACGTTGTGAAAATCAAACGATCCTTTATTCTCGAGCACAGCCTTTGTTCATAAACAAATACTGATTTGAGATTAACTATTGCTCCAGAGCGCGAGCATTACACAATTAATGAACCTGCTCTTTGCACAACTTATGAATTATAAAATTTTGGGTAATATTAATCAATGATATGATAGAAAGGCAGATCTGGAGAATATCTAGTATGTTTACATTTCCCGAAACTCGTACCTACAATATTTCTGCGAATTTCCAACTTGTAATTTAGTTGTTCTACATGAGGTAAAAGGTTTATTGCACTCCATACTGCCTTACATCTGTGATGACCTTTGATAAATACTACTGAGGCTTCAATGTTTACACTAATTCATGCATTACAATTACATTTGTGAGTAAAAATCTAAGAGAAAATAAAATGAAGGCTTGTATTCGTTACCTTAAATGAAAGCTTCAAGGCATACAGTATTGTACATGATAAGTAGGATATTGCAAAAATACAGCAGAAAGATTATAGGCACAAGCTTTAGGAAATCTGAATTTAAGACTACATATTAAGAATGATATTAGGTATTAAGAATAGATATACAACCTAAACAAAAAAGTTAGAAATCATCTTAAATTTTTCTTGCATACTTTATTTTTGTTCTTTTGGCAATGAACAGGACCATGACTAATGGAATCAATGTACTTTGGGACTATATTTAATTTTAAAATGAATTTCACCTTGTCTTTTAATAAAGGTTGCATGCATGCAAATTGAACGCATTTCATTTCAAATTATTCGAGAATAAGCTAACATGATACATGCAAAAAATTTAAACCAATTAATAAAACTTTACCTTTTAAAAAATACTTGGATTATTTTTCATTAATTGAAAATACCTCCCCTTACAACACGCAGTTGTGTCTCTTAAAGTCACCAGCTACACTGTAGCCATCATTTTGATTTTGCGCCCAAGGTGTCTCGATAACTAGTATGAATAATGATAGGTAAATAACTAAGTGACACAAACAATGCGTGTTTGCGATAAATTTATATTTTACGAACGTCAAATAAAATTTGAAATAGATTTTAAGTTGAATTAAGAAGCATTGAATAGTTACGTCATTGAACTATGTGAAATTGTAAAAGCTAAAACATTCTCAAAAATGATTAATTTCAAATTTTAGTCCTATCAACAAAACTTTAGTAATAATTTGTACCATTCAAACTAATTAATCATATTAAATCGCGGTAATTGGTACCTAGTGTACTTATGTAAATTGGATGCTAAGCACACTTATAATGGAGGAAAAAAAGAACGAAATACTTGCGAAAATCAATGACCTTCTGGATGCCAATGATGAACGCGAAAAGATACGAGAATTAATTGCACAACAGTTGGTTGATACAGGCTGGTACGACCAAATGAAAGCTACTTGCCGAAAACACATTCGTAATAAGGGTGTTGACAACGTCAATGTTGACGAAGTAGTCAACGACCTCGAAACCATGGCAGAAAGTACGGTACCCGAAGAAGTCAAGAACAGCGTCACGGACTATATCAAAAACCTAATTAGAGATAATCTTCAACCGGAATAAAGTTCCGTTCGCTTTACAAATAGAACCTACACAACTTAAACTTTCCTCCAGCCTATTGCAAAATTTCAAGCCCAAAAAATAGCCTTAAGCTTTTTTCAATGCCTTTATTAAGACCCAAATCCCTTAACAAATGGAATAAAGACAAACACAGAGATATAAGAAAAGCGCAACTTGATTTTTGATGGGACTTTGTTACAAAAATGGAGAGGGTTAACACGAAATACACATGGAATTTGTTGTTTGTTTTATAAAATGTTATTATTTTTTTCGGGGGGAGATGGGAGGGGGAAGACGATTCAGACAGGAAAAATTCTCAGAAGCACATTGCCAATTTAGTCAGTATCAACGGAAGTTTGAGCCTCATCTTCGTTGAAAATGTTCTCAGCCTAAAATAACAATAATAAGAATTGCACTGCAATTAGATAAAGGACAAGGCAGAACTTGAGAAGTAATGAAAATAAGTCTAATTGTTTTCAAGTTAATCAAACAGCGTAGAGCAATTGCAATGAACCAAAGAGCAGTTCCTTTCGAAAAATGAAAGAGAAAACTAATCATGGTGATTAAGGATCATCCAGCGCAGATTCCTCCTAATAAATAAGACAAAATAATAGGACTGAGAAAAATTCCACCGAAGAATAAATAACAAATTTGAATTAGTATCGAGTGTTTCGTAAGTAAATCAGTATCAAACAAAAAAATCCAAAATAATCTGAAAATAGTCAAAGTATTTTGGAAATAGAAAACCTAGAGAAGTCTATTCCACCTTTAATATAATGATTAACTGATAACTCCTATGCCGCCTTCTAGCACACTAAATTTAAACTCGAATGGGCAAAAAAGCTACCCCATGTGATGGATTCGAACTAGCACCATCTCAACAGAACGACCAGCTTCCTGTTTTTACTAATCCGGTGAAGTATTTATCAGCACTTATTGTGAGTGCAGGAGAAGCATCACGGAGACCCACAGATAATAGAACTAACCTCCCCTTAGTCCATCCCTCCTGACCAGTTTTGAACAAAACATCTTTGCAAGTGAACATAAGCGCATAAGAGCTCTGTGACAACGTACTTTGAAGATGTACACACTGACAGCAAAGCCAATGGCTCACTTTAACATTTAGTAATATTAAACCAACAAAACTCATTTCAATATTTTAATATTTGCAACTAGAAAAACTAGTATTGGAATATATGGCAAATATATCAGTACCAAGTTTCTATTAAAAGAGAATGACAAATAACAATCGGACTAATAATTCTACAGCCCAGATAAAGTAGAGTTCTTTCGAATGCCGAAACTTGTTCTTACTAAATACTCTCCAATAAAAATGAATATATTTCTACTAAAAGAACTCTAACCAGCAATGTGTCTTGAAAATTGGGTAGGTTAGGCCCTGTAATGAGCCATAAATTTCGCATCGAAGAGAACAACTTCCACGGTAGATAAACAAGTTGATTTCAGAGACGAAAAGTAAAGAACGACACATATTAGAAGAAGAGATGTGACCTAACAGTTCACTACTGTCCCGTACTTCAACTGCAAATGAGAAGCACAATTGTGGAGAACTGCCTCTTTATTAAATATTTCGCCGTGAACACATTGCAAACATTCATAAAGCAGAGCTACATACAGTTAAATTCCCGAAGAACTTGAATCAAAACTCAAAAACCTCGTCAACCTTTGTTTAGCAAATGCTGGCGTATACACATAGTTTGCCTAGAGACAAAAACAATTTGATACGTGAAATATTGACCTACCATTTGCCAAACTTGAAGGATATTATCCTCCGAAACCGAGCATACAACCCATGGAATATTTGGGTTCCATGAAAAGTCCGAAATCTTTGCCGTGTGACCACCGTGAATGAAAAGAAGTTCCGGTGGACCATCTTCAGCATCTTCAGGTGATTGTTCATCCCCGATCCGACTCAAATCCCAGACATGGAGTCTACGATCTGTGCCTGAAGACGCAAGAATAGTCTCATGATGGGGAGACCATTGAACCTGAAAGATTTCATCTCTGTGTGATTCAAAACTGTGTAATTTCATATTTAGTGCTCGCATGTCCCAGAGAGCCACAGTTCTATCGGCACTGCCAGTTGCTAGGATGTATTCTGAGAAGGGGTTAAAGGATAAGCAGTTGACTTCGGCCAAATGAGCCTCGACAGAATGGCTGGGTTTTGAAGCTGTTGCAGTATTAACCATAGAAGAGGTGGTGCTAGATGCACTGCTTGATGAGCCACAACAACGTGTGTCCCAGATCATTAGACGCTTGTCATCGGCAACTGAACCGAAAATCGATTCGTGAAGTGGATGCCAGGCGACATCTTCTACTACGGAAGTGTGCGCGTTGAAAATAGTGTGAGCATCGATTATGTTTCCATCCTTAGGAGAAGCATTGATGTCCCACATACAAACAGTCTACAAATGAAAAATAAACGCTTTCTATAAAAATTTGTGAGCGTTAACATTGGCACAATAAGACTAGGAGCGTCAAAGATACATCCACATGTTTTTTTTTAACTTAGAGGACCAGCAAAACCTAAATATGAGGTTCAATGTAGCAAAAAAGTGCAAAAATTCGAAGATACAAAGAAGAATTAAAATAATTTAAAATGAAGATTTGAGATCAGAAGGACAATCGAACAATCCAACATTTCAAAATCTCAAAGTGGACAAAATGTCTAATATTGAAACCACAAATCGTGTTTTCTGCCCAAAAAATAAATATTGAAAACTAAACTCCTACAACAGATAGGAGCAAACAAGTGAAGCCTAGTACTAATAAGACACAGATTCTTTTCAAATTTACTCTTGAAAACCATTTCAGATATTTTCGGATTGTCATGAGCTATCCTGCCATCTACAACTAAGGAAAAGGGCAATTAAAAAATCATCGATTTTATGAGAATCCAAGCACAGACACATTCGAATTTCTATAAATGAATTTTAAGATGCCGACTTACAAAATCATCAGACGCTGAAAGAAGATACCCATTAAGTCTAGGGTTCCAGGAGAGACCATACCCCTCCTTTTGATGACCCCGAAGTCTCAATTCTGGTTCACACACCCCAGTAGGATCAGGTTTACTGGGATGTTTGGTGTAGTCGAAAACGAGAACATCAGCACTGGGAGTTTTGGTTGCAATAACAGATGGATTTTGGGGCATATAACGGGCCCTATTAACTTCTCCCTCATGATTGATCTTGATATTGATTTCAATCTTCCCTGTAACAGCTCCAAAGCCACCAAATTCTGTAAGAGGGAAAATGTGAGTGAAATTGAACTAAGATTTGGAGCATATTTTTAACAGATCAGTGTTCGAACTAACCACCACGATCAGCATCGAAGTTACTTGGATCGAATTGAGTGTTCTCATTAGGAAGCTGAACACTGGCAATAAGGAGATGATTTTGTTCGTCAGAAGTATGAGTACCGAGGATCAAACGATGAACAGTGTAATCTTTACTCTCAGGGCTAGAAGACAAAAAGAAGGCTAGATGGTTAGAGATAAATTTAACCCTACTTCTTCTTAACTCCATGATTGAAGAGTAATATACATTAACTTTGAACTGGTCCTCTACTGAAAACAATTCATATGAATGAAATAAAGAAAAGTAGATTTTGTAATGAGACCTAACTAATTAAGACTTTTAAAACGAGCGGAAAGCTGCAAGACTATTATGCTGACAACATTTTTGCATATACACTTAAAATCTAGATATAAACTGTCATGAGATCATATCCAGCACCACAAACGGTTGAATTAAATCATGAGAAATTACTCCCTTCATTTTCAAGTCGACAATTTAATCTCAGATTCCAGTTTTTTTACGGTCACTTCAACCAAATGCTAACTTTCTTTCGATAAAATCTCCAACAACGGCATATTTGTCATAGGATTTAATAACCCATTTTAGAAAGTCTTCACAAGCACATATTCAATAACAGAGCTAAAAATTAACTCTCACAAAACGGCGACACTAAAAGCAAATGAAAGCGAAATACTACGATGCAAAGAAAAAAAGCGATTCCCTTTAATAAAAGGTTGAACAACTGAACCTTTTTCTCTAACAACTAATGCAACGTTGCTCGAAGTAGAGTACAGCATTCTGACACTGTACTTTACACTTTAAAATTAATAACCACCTCACAATTAGTATTGTGGAGTTTTAAAATTTCACTCACCGAGTAACATCGGGAAGCCATTGGGCAGTCAAACTGGGCCACTCCAGGGCGTGAGTCATGACAAGATCATAGAGGAAAGGGGTGTTTTTTTTCCAAATCTTGTACTCCTCATTGATTATCCTCTCCTCAACTCCGTCTTCTGTGTAAATAAAACGTGGATAAAAAACGGGATCGAAATAATAGAAACAAATTGGTCGATAATAGCAAGGCGAAGTAAATTACCATCAGACAGTCTATACTGCAGTTCACCTAAATATTGAGTAGGGGCATGAAAATATAAAACCAGAAATAAAGCTGGATAAAAAGCGTGTACAAATCAAAATAGAATAGCGAACAATTTAATCAGATTCAATATTTACATTGACGTGTTTTGTGAAATTAATTCAAAACCAAATCAACATTAGCGAAAACTGACTAAACAAATTAGAATGAGATTATATGTTAAAAGGTGTCAAGGGATTTAGAGAATCCTAAAAGTATACATTCTAAACCAATAAATGAACAAAGTGCCAACGGAGAACATAAGTGGTAATATAAACGAAAATAAGATAACATACGCTAAATATATTCACAATCAACACAAGCATACATAATAATGCATTAAAGAATATCAAGCAAGGATAAATAAGTTAAAAATCTCCAAGTAGATGTGGTCGCCAAAAAATTGTTTCGACAAAGTAATAGATCACAAACATCTACCAATACCAGAGAAAAGAAATGGTGAATTATAAAGCTCGGAAGGATGAATTCTGGGTAGATAAGAAAAACACAAGGATATAAGTACTTCAAGAGAAATGAAAAAACCACAAAATAATAAGGAATTCATTACAGTCTTGTGAGAGAATTTCAGTAAAAATGAAAAAAACGCAACTCCATATGCCAATAAATTAAATGAAATAACAAAAGAAAACAATTTACCTTCCATTTCAGGCATAGTAAGCAGGACCTTGTAAAAAATGACTGAAGGCGCCAAATTTTGAATTAAACGATAACTCAAACAACGACAAAAATTCTAATGTATCACTAAATATCTTAAATAACACTCATTCAACGTTCAAAACATATTTCCAATATTATTCACGAGTTTTGCTGCTGCTAATTGGAAAGTTTTTTAATGTTAGTTAGATGTATGGTAATAGAATTTAAGCCTATAAGTTCAATACTTAAATGCGATATATAAATGCATTCACTGCTCAATACTTTAATGAGAATAAATTGGAGAGTTACTTTAAAAATGTTACGCAATTTTAATATGATTCAACTGAGATTTATGAGCAGTTAAGTGAAACAATTTTCATATTAGTAGCGCTATTGACACTGAATTAACTATGTTTATAAAACCCATGCAGCACTTTTGATAATATATATTGGGTATTTTGTGGTTGATGCTTCAATTAGAGCTTTCTTTTTAGTTACCTTATGTTATTTAATGTAAATGAAACCTTCATATTGAACTCCCATTCCTTTACGTTTGTATAATTCTATTAAGAAATGCATTCCTGATTTAAATGTAATGAGTAAGCATTGAGTTGGTGTCAACGTAAAAATAACTGTGAAGTCTCATTTAAAGTGTCAGCTACGCATGCATATAGCTGGAGTGTCATTGAGTATTATATCACCAGTTAACCAATTATGCTTGAAAACTTTAGCGGTAACTCTGGAATGGTAACATTTTCCTCAGCATGGATTGACACCGACTGATTTCAGTTAATAAATTCAGTGAATGATTAGGTGAATTAGTATTTACTCTAGTCGCTACTTGATTACAATAACTAAAATTTTTATTTACTGTATTGTATAGCCACTAACTCATTTTGATCAATTTGAATCAGATAAAGAGCTTTCACAGTTTAAATTCGATAAACCAAACTCCTTTATTTAAAAAAGATATACGGTAGAATTGAAAACAATGAAGAGCTTAAAATATTAGTTTTGGAATTTTATCCATGTAAGGAAACAAAATTGCATGTACTAAAAGTGATTAATTAACTTTTATTGTTTATATAATCTATTATAAGTTATTTTCAAGGTTGACATCTATTCGAGTAGTGGATATATTTTAATATTTGTTGCCTATCATCAATGTAGAATCCGTTGTAAGCTTTAAAGATTCTCTTTATAAATCCATTAATTCACATATCATTTATATTTTACAATTTTATATTTTTATTTAATTTCCAGAATATTAGCCTTCCTCCACTCCAAATGCTGACGACGTATTCAGGCTGTCAAAATATACGTAATCGTAAGAAATCTTTCCGTCCCTCATTTTACGAATCTGAAGAAAATAACGAATATCAACCATTTGGTGAAAAGTAAGGATTGTCTATTTGACTATGTTGCAATGCAGATGTCATAGAAACTGGGATTTGGTTTATTTTTGCTCGAAATATAATTCAAATTTTATTTGCCACTGATATTACTATTCAATGGTTCAATTTTTGGTTTCATTTTATTTTTAATTCAAATACTTCGGTTTTAATGTTACTAATAGGCTCATTTTCCATTTTACCTGTTTCTGTTGCTCTTAAATACTGTTATCATTAAATATGTTTTTCATATAGCATTTTACAATTTTTGTAGATTCACATTTGCTCCATTTTTTCAAAATTATGTGTAATGATCTGGGCTCATAAATCGAGACTTTATAAAATCAATGCACAACTAATATATTTTTGACAAAGCCAGGCCAAGCTTTTTCAATCTTATTTTAAAGTAAAGATAAAATAGGTATAAATTTTCATTTTCTTGTTGTGGACAAGTAGAAAGATGTAGAATTCGCTAATGGATTCTATCCTCATCAATGATGGTACCTCTCGATGCAAATATTACAAGGCAATTAATTTAAAGCAGTGGTTTTGGAGAACAGAAAAGCAACAGCAGCATATATTTCAAGCCTCTTAGATTCTTTACATTTTTCAATATTTGAAAATCTTCCCGAATTAGCTTTTACTGCTTCATCTGACAATCTAATTTAACTGGTCAGACAGTCGTTACCCAATTTGTTCCTCTAAAGGTTTTAACTATGTGAAATTAACTGAAATAAATTAGTCGTAAGTCCAAAAGATGCTAGAATGAGGGAGACGGAAGGGTTTTGAAAGTGAAATAAGGTAACAAATAATCATAGTTTGACAATTAATTTTGTGTTATTTACGCTTCTAGTTGCTTTGTAACATGTTTTAAATGTTGAAGAAGCTGAAAGATCCTATGTGAGTATTAATATACAAGTTTCACTATTTCTATTGGTATAAATATTGGCGAATAAAGTATGCATTTGAGATAGCTAGTTTAGCCAGCAAATTTGTGTCCAATAAGAGATATAGCACGGTAAATTTTCTATTAATTTTAATCGATTTAACCGAGTCAAACAAGGTTGCAAAATCAAAATGAGAATACGGCAATCTCTTTTCCTATCTGAATTTAATAAATTATATTAATCTGAGTAACGACAGTTGTTTTTCACCTTCAAAGTGAGAAGTGCTGATCTCTTGCTCAAGCTCTATCAATTGTTACTGTACTACTATTTAAATTTAAGTAAGTTCATGGTAAGGGCCCTTGTTAGCTGTTTAAACAAAAAAATATAGTTTAGCTCAATTTGCCTTGACGGTAAATCCAGTTAAATTTGAACGAAGTATTTGAAATTGAATTATGTATGTATTTTCTTTTTTTTCATTTTGTATCATTAAATATTGGTAAAAAGCGATGAGTTATCGAACAAAGTTTTTCTAAGAAGTTAGAATTTTACGAAAGTTATTTAGATTTCCACTAACTGATGGAAGTAAGTGATTTTTTATTGTGCTTCCCTTCATTTTGACGGCTTAATCACTAAGATGTAAGCATTATAAAATGATTATTTTTTGTATATACTTCCCAACCATGCATTAAACAATCTTATTTTAGTTGGATTAAATTGTGATCAATCGAATATAGACCAACGCAAACAAACTTAGGAGGGTCTACTTGTCTTCTGATTGGTATTACTATTATTATTCGGTATGGAGGGGGAACGTGATTGCTTGGTAGCCCTGATAGCGTCTTCTTGGTTGTCATGGTAATAGAAAACACACGATATTTCCTCCCCACCCTTCTATCTGCAAAGTGGATCCTTCCATCAAGCTGTCTATTTATCGTAGGCGAAATTTGTGCTTTTGCTATCAAATACTTGGTCGGCTACGTCAACAGAAGCTCGCTGCCTATTGGCTATCCTTTTCTTAATTTGGGAGGGCGACAAAATTAATCTTACCCATTTCCCCCTATGGGCTAAAAGGCCAACACAAGCCCAGATTTTGGCCAAAATGGTGTGGTTGACTTTCAGAATGTGCCTTTTACGAATATAGAGTTTCTGAATTAGACAATGGTTTCTTTAAATCTTAAAAGATGTTCATAAACAGATATTGGAAAGAGTATTATGACGTTTTTTGTATGGATAATATTTACTAACTGCTTTGATTAGTTTTGTTTAAAAGAAAATATTTTTATTGCAGTATTTATTTAAAGTGAAATTCACGTAAACTACATTTGCTATAAACAACCCCACTAATTCGTTATTATTCAAACTACAAATTAAGGAAGTAAAACAGCAATTGGAGATCATTTTAAATTTTGAGAATAAAATCAAATTCACCAAAGATTAGCTCTATCTGGGATCTGTTATCTAACACATGGAGTTTTAGCCCTACTCTGATATTTTATTAGCTATTTTAGAAAAAAAATTTGCTGATGTTTTATTTCGTGGTTCGGCATCAGCCTCACTTTGCTACCGTTTCTAAAATGTATGCATTCACTAATCTCATTATGGTTCCCATATTCACATATTTCCCCTTATGAGCAAAAGTGCTCACACAAGCATTATGGAAAGCCAGTCAAAGTCCTCCCCCCCCCTCCCCCGCACAACCACAACTCTTAAATTGGCCAATGACATTAAATTGGTGCCGTATAAACTTTTACTTTGTGCATTTGAGTGCACAAGCAAGATAAGACATGCTCATGCTTTCATTATCTCTTTCTAAGCTCACTCTCTCTCTCCCCCCCCCCCCCCCCCCAATGTCCCGCCGTGCCAGTTGCATTTCTTGTTTCAGGTTAGTTGATAATTTCAGTTAACTCTCTGATAGGCAGCTAAGTAGGCCCTTTAAAGTTTCACTCAATTAAATAATTAATTGGTTTGAAAATAGTATGTGGTCTAAGGCAAGTATTGTCTTTCTCTCTGGGTCTGAGTGCATCACTCCTTTTTCGTCGTATTTAATTTGCATCTGTTTATTGTGAAGGCCACTGTGAATAGGCCTCTTAACTGGTCATTGGGTTAACGTGTACCTGTCGTTTATTTCGGACTTTGTAAACACCAACACTCAAACTGTACACGCACATTCGGCGACTATGTTCAAACGAAACTCCGTTGATGGTCACTCTAAATCATGGTAAATTTAACTACCCGTTTTTTTTCTCTCTCACTCAAAACCACCCTTTTCAGCCACCACTTGACAATTTATTTAAGTTTATATTTGCACTTATTCTAAGTTATTTAAATGAACTTCCTGTATGCTTTGTGTAAGCTCATAATTATTAAACTTCATGAAGAATCCGTTTTGCCCTTGACGCCGTGTTGTTTGTATCGATTTTCAATTTACTTTTGTTTCATATCTTTCAAATCAAATTTCTTAAATTAGTTCAAGCTGATGGAGAGCCAGTTATATTCCTGTTTGAATTAACAATTTCTGAAGGCCATCTAGCCACCTCACTTAATCAACTTATTCATATCAACTATGATGAATTTGTCCGATTGATATTATTATGCCTCCGAATTTTTTGGGTTTGCGTAAATGGGCGATTTTGCACTAATCAGTTTAGAAAAACTTATTGAAGGAGAAAGTACCTAAAAGCAGGAACGAAAGCCGTGAAAATACATTGTCAATAGCAAGTATCACGTGTATCAAAATG